GGAATTCAGCAAGAAGAACCGCCCTTCAAGAGCAAACGCTGACGTTAAGACGCAATAGACGTGGGTTCGGTTGTTTGACGTGAGGAAAGCCGTTATACCGTGTTGTGTTTTTTTCCGTTTCGTAGATAGTAAAAAGCAAAGCAAAGAACAAGACAGACAGGTAGGAGTGAGATAATAGCTCAAGGCGGGGAGTCTCGAGGGGACTCGGGCGTTATCTCTTTTATGGAGAGATTATCTTCACTGGATGAGCAGGTTAGTTCTCATCGGCCTAAAAGAAAAGTAAGAAGGAGAAGACAGATAAAAGAGACAGAAGTAGTGAAATGTGAGAGGACGCAAAGGAGGAGGGGAGGGAGAGAGGAATGGAAGAGGAGAAACGTTACCTTCATGGGGGCGAAACCGGCACCGTACTGGTGAGCTGGGGGCATGCCCATGGCCGGGTAGAGTGGTGGTGGAGGGGCAGGTCTGTAAGGAGTGCCGGCAGGACCAGAGTTGTTCTGGGAGCGGCCCCAGCTGAGACGGACGCGCGAGTTGCCGATGGGGTAGCCCTGCATCTGGTTGATGGCCATTTCGGCGGCGTGGCGCTGGACGAACTGGACAAATCCGCAGCCCTTGCCTGGGGGGATCTTGACATAGGTGATTTCACCAAAGCCCTGGAAGAAAGAGCGCAACTCGTCCTCGGTGACGTAGCCAGACAGTCCGCCGACAAAGACGGTGGTGTTGTTGGGATCAGTGAACTGGTTCATGGGCTGGGGCGCGGCGCCATAGTAGCCCATCTGGGGGCCACCGGGGCCAGGAGGACCGCCGGCGCCGCCCATTGAGGGAGGGTACATGCCGCCGGGAGGACCACCGGGGACGCCCATGTGAGCAGGGCCACCAGGACCGGCGGGACCCTTGTTCTTTGGGGTAGCAGTCGAGATGCGCATGGGACGGTTGCCGCAGTAGACGCCCTGCATTTCGGAAAGGGCGCGCTGCTGGTCGGTCTCGTCGGAGAAGCGGACGAAGCCGTAGCCGCGGGAGAGACCGGTGATGGGATCGGTCATGATCTTGGCAGACTTGCAGGACGGGAAGCGCGACTGGAAGAGAGACACGAGCACGTACTCGTTGACTTCAGGGCCGAGGTCGCCGACGAAGATGGAAAACTCGGGCCCGCGTTCCTCGCGGCTGTAGTAGTAGAAGTTAGTTGATATCTGTACTCTTTTATGCATAGGATAAGAAGAGAGACGAACCTGCGATCAGCGAGGCCACCGCCGGATGCCCAGTTGAGCTTGAAGGGGCGCTGGGTGTTTGGCATGGGAGTGCCGTTGACCGTCAGTGCCTTGGCGGCCGCCGCGGGTGTCGCGAAGTCGACGAAGCAGTATCCAGCGTTGGCCCTGTGGAAGTCGTAAGTATATAAAACGTAGAGAAAAAAGGAAAGAAAGCGACACAGAAAGCGAAACAGAGAGAGAGCCTTACCCGGAGAACTTGTCGCGAATCATCTTGACGTTGACCTGTTCGCCCATCTGGTACCAGATGTTGCGAATGAAATTTTCGTCGATCCATCCTTCCAACTCGCCCATCCTGAGAAGCAGTCAGTAAATAGAGGAATACAGGAGAGAGAAGATAGAGGGAGCGAGGTAGTACCAGAGCGTAGTCTTGCCATCCGGCTGCTGGTTGCCTGGCGAGCCCGAGGGGTCCTGCTGGGCTCCGGCCTGGAACTGGGCAGCGTTATCGGTACCGGCCATGGCAGTGTCTGCAGCGGGAGCAGCGGCGGCGTTGGCAGCGGCTTCGGGAGCCGGATGCTGGTTCTGAAAGGAGTCGAAGGTCTGGAAGGACATCCTGTTTGTTTCGACGGGGGCAGATATCACTGTCAGCTGTGCGATCGACGAGGAGGAAGAAGGAGAAGAAGAGGAAGGGAAGGAAGGGGCGAACCTGGAGCGCAAGAAGAAGGCGAGACGGGAGATGCTGAGTGCAGAGAGAGAGATGAAGGCGTGTCCTTTGAGCGGGCGCGGCGACGGGCAGAGACTTCAGGCTTCAGACTTCGTATCGGTCGTAAGGCAGGACGAACGCACGATCTGGACGGGTCAGCAGGCGCAGACGAGGAGCGCGACGGCGACGACGGCGACAACGACGAGAAGAACAGACGAACAGACGAACAGACGAACAAGCGACGATGAAAGCGACAGTCAGGGAAAGACAGGACAGGCTAAGGACGAGGACAAGGGGGAAGATGGGAAGACGAAGAGAGCGAGAGCGAGAGAGAACGAGATAGTCAAGATAGATAGAGGGGGAGGGGAAGGGAAAGTAGTTAGAGTCTAGGGCTTTTTAGACCATTAAGGGCAAAAAAGATAGTAATAAAAAGAGATAATAAGGACGATAGATGATAGTAAGAAAAGGGAAAAAAAAGGAAGGACCGGATTGACTATTAGTCTTGGTCGCGCGCGGGAAAGTAAGGTGGG